GTTCATCCAACTTGACGTTTCTCTTTGTGGAACATTCTACGTCATTCTTCGAACATTCTGCCTATTTCTCGTTGTTCGCTTTGTGTTGCCGCAGTATTCGCCACAATACGAAAACACAACTATTTTTAGGCAGACGTCATATGGCCTTGAGTTGTGTCAACTTATGGGAATACGGGGTTGTAAATACTCTGCATAGACGCAGTTAAAAATACATCTATGTAAACACAGGACTACGTTGAATTTTTGAGTTCGTTGCATTCTCATGCAACTCTGTGCAAGTCATTTCGGTTCGTTTGGGAGGATTCCGACTAGTTCTCAAAAATACAGCGGAAAAATTGGTAAATAAGAAATTTAAGGATCTCTTAGCAACTAAATTCTAAAAATTAATCATTCAAGTGTACGAATTTGTCAAAATAAGCCGGTAGGATTGTTTATTTTGTCAAAAAACCGGATTACAAATTTCACAATTGGTGACGGGAATGGAGAAATAGGGAATTAAAAAACATTTTGACAAACAAAGGAAAGGTAAAACGAGAAGACGATAAGTGCCAAAGATACGAAGGAAAAACAACAACAGCAATGAGCACAGTTTCCATTGCAAAAAAATTTATGTGCAGCAAATAATAAATGAAGGGAAATTGAAATCGGCATAGGTAGGCGGTCGTCGATGCAAGTAGTTAGATCATGTATAGGAATAGGAGTAAGAAGGGTGGCCAGTTATGAATTGAACGGCGCAGTTAAAAGGGAACCTTTGTAAGGAAAAGGGAGGCACTACGAACCACCGTCTTTGCCGCTATGACGAATTTGTATAGTCCTTATATATTTGTATCCAATGATTATGAGATACTACGAATAAGTCGCCAATATAATCATTATAACGTTGCAATTCATTTGTTAAAACTAGGTCTAAAGAGAAATTAACATAAGTAAAAACATTTCCTTATATTTTGCAGTTACGGAAGTAATCAGTTTCCAACAAGAAGCGCACGCGGTTGAATAGAAACAGCCAAAATATTTGCTGTGAATCAACCAGACCGGCCCCAACAACCAGCTGAGGGATCTATTGTAGAACAGAGCAATAAAGTGATTGGTAAATTCGATTACAATAATTGTGATATATGTTTGAAATTGCCTGTGATTTTATTTAGTTTTTCTGTGCAGCGTATCTATTCAGTGCTGTGGTTTATTATGGCTGATCCGGAGAAACAGAGCCTCATTAACAATGAAGAAACCAATAATACGTATACCACCACCTCCCCGCCAGGCGTTGGTACAGGCAGTGTAGGCGGCGGCGAAGGAGGACCAGTTATTTCCGCAGGTGCTAATTCAGCTGAAGGTACTCTATAAATTATAAAAAATCTTTTTCATATACATATGTATGTAAGAATGTATTTATGTACAAGTGTTTATCTAGTATGTAAATGTAATTCAGTTCATTAAACCCGGCACTGGCGTTAACATGCGTAGCATTAGATGCTGCACATTTCAACAAATCCCCAATGAACTGTAAATGAAGCAACCACAATGCAGTTATAGAAACCTCATAAGTGTGTATTACTACAGCTGTTAGAGGTGATAAGGGTGTGGGTGGTTTCAGATTTGTGCCTGCTTTCGTAACGACTTGAAGTTATTCGAAGTATGTTTTCTTTTTCTTCATTGAGCTTGATTGTTAGGTCTGTTTTGTGTACTCATACCTGCATACATACTTACACATGTATATTTATGCAGTTGTACATGCACAGTAAACCAAAGCTTCATGATGTCGCGTATTGTTGAGCCACTGATTGCATTAACAGAGGTCTGGTACATTATATGTATACCTACATAAGTACGCTAAAGTATGAGAATGCATTCCATATTTTTCAACATTATAAAATTATCAAGATTGCCAAGTTGCTTTTTGCATCTACAATGTGATGATATCCCATTCTCACATCGGGTGAGTCATACGTCATGGCCATTGTGAAGTCCAACAGTTGTTATGCGATATGTTATCAATGTATTTTGTTTATGAATACAATGTTGCTGGAAATCGTGTGCTAATGAAGGCATCAGATAATAATAAAAAAAGGAAATTCAGATTGTAACAAAAGAAGTACCCAAACAATTTTTTGAAAGACTACTGCATAGAGCGTGCTGTTTAATCGGCCCAAGGTTTAAAATAACAAATTAGGGTTAATTTAATTTGATCAAACTAATTTTATATCTAATGATACCTATACAAATGCCATTTCATTTATTTATGTACAGCTTTTGTAGCAATAAATATAAACTACGTAAATCGATTTTTCCTGAGAAACTTGGAACGTATGCGGTGGGCCATAAGAAACATGATACATTCATCTGTCAACATAAGCCTCATGTACAAAACTTAAATTATATTTGTGTACTATAGTACGCAATTTAAAAGAAACCGCTTTGAAGATGGAAAACTTAAAGCAATAGTCAGCATTGACATAGATCTCTATCTCTTTTACCAAAGTAATGTATGTATGTACTAAGCTTTCAATGAAGGAAATTTATTCATATGAAGACAACTATCAGATAGACGCACACACAGACATATTAATATGCATTTGCGGTTTTGAACTGTTTCACTATTCAGTTTTCACATTACATTCCATTCGATTCATCTACCATGTATTTGTTCTACAGGAAAGGTTAAACATTTTTCGTTTTCCTTAAGGTCATAATAAATTGGTGTAACAGAAATTTGCTGTTCTTTTTTTAGGCGGCGTTTCTCAAGCAAATGTACCATTTGTGGGTCCCGATGAAGTGCCACCACCGTATCAGGCCAACACTGGCACCGGTGTACCAATGGTTACATGTCGCGTGTGCCAAAATATGATCGATATCACAACAAAACGAGATCAGCACGTAGTGAAATGCAGTCATTGCAATGAGGCAACGGTAAGGATTTGAAAGCACAATTCCTCAAGCAGTTAAATTAGCATTCAATTTTAAATTTCTATGTTTAGCCAATACGCAACGCTCCTCCAGGCAAGAAGTACGTGCGTTGCCCATGCAACTGTCTGTTGATTTGCAAGAGTTCATCGCAGCGCATTGCTTGTCCTCGGCCAAATTGTAAGCGCATTATTAATTTAGCACCAAGTCCGGTTACGCCACCCGTACCGGCCATGCCGGGCATGTGTCGTGTTACTTGCGGTCACTGTTCAGATACATTTCTGGTATGCACCATAGCTAAAGTGTTCTTTTTATTGTTTGTAAATGTGATTCTTGAAAAAGTAAAATTTTTTTTGCAGTTTAACACATTTCACAATGCTCTAGCGCGTTGTCCCCACTGCAGGAAAGTGTCATCTGTTGGCTCGCGCTTTGCTTGCGGACGCGGTATGTTGTTCGCTGTACTTGGAATGTTGTTTTTCATTGCGGGCATTGGTATTACTGTTGGCACATACAAATACGCACAGGTATAGAATTTTTGCCTTCCATATGCATATTTGGATATTTTGTTTTAACTCATGCATTTCGTTTGGTGTTTTACAGGATCACGGTGGTATTATAATTGCTTATGTTGGCCTCTTTCTGATCGCAGCCTTTTTATTAGCACGTTCGGTTTACTATTTCCGTTTAAAAGTGAGCGCTATAGACGGTCCAATGTAAGGGCGAATTTAAATGTTTTTGTATCATTCCTTTTGATATTAACAAAACAATTGAAAACATAAAAAACTTATATTCATATAAACAAAGCCAGAGGGTAGTAAGCGAAAAGCAACTAAAAAGGCAGGCATAAAAGAGCAAAGAGTACTACTTTTTACACATAACATTCAAAGGAAATTTAAATTGATGCAAAATCCAAAAAGGGTACACCGTAACTTCGCAAAAGAAATATGCAATCGAACAAAGCTGTATTGTAATTGCAAACGAAACTCGAGTGCGTGAATAACTACATTAAACTATACAATTTGGATTAAAAATATAGACTTAGTCTCAATAAAGTAAATAAGTGCTAATGCATGTAAATGTTAGCATGAAAGCTATAATTTTAAATAAAAAATAAAACAACATGCAAAATCTGTAAACTTTTTGTATAACAGTTTAAAAAAATTTAATTGATTTCACTTGTTTAGCAAATATCTGGTTACTGGAAGGACCAAACTGAAAATTTAGTTTACTTGAAAATCGCGCCCAAACATCGCATTAAATGCGGAAATATGCTGCACTAGTAGAAATACGGCAATCAAAAAGGTGAAGACTAATTTTTCATTTGGAAAGTACACAGTTTTACAAAGAAGCTAAACGTTTGGAAACTCAATTCACATTTATGTTAGGTTAAATATCGGGCTACAGCACTCTGCTTTATATATATATATTTTTTTAATTTGTGATTAGTCCTTTTTGCTTACCCATTTGCTACTGTAATTCTTTTATCGTAAACTATGTATATGCTTGTAATCTTTGATTGTGAAAGTTTATGTTCTCTGGCTAATACATATTCATGCATACAACAAAGCAGTAAGCTAAGATTATTCAACTTTAAAAAAACACAAAAAAAATGAAACGAAAATCCCCGCTTCCGTTGCAAATCATCGTGGATTTGTAGTCTATCAAATATAAAACGACAAAATGTTGCTGTATGTTGACAATTTTCACGTGTAAGAAGTTGTTTCGCGGCTGGCGTAAAATGATGTTTGTTATAATTAGCTTATAATAATTTGGGTCACTCAACAATGATAAAAGAAAATATGTATTTATAAAAAATAGCAATTACGGCCTCGAATTTCTCAAACGGTTCACGCTAATGAAAATGCATTCGCCAGTGTAGAAAAAAAATAAAGGCAAGTAAACCGGAAAACAAATCTGAATTCTATAAAAAAATCATTTAATATTTACAAATATGATTAAATGAAATATTATGGAACTTATACAATTATATTTAGATTATTACGACATACTGTAAATAAATAAAATTAAAACCAAATAAAATTGTGGTTGTCGTGTATGCAGTTGCGTAGCTTTCTAAATTTAGCCTACCTACATCGATGTTTTAAGGGCTTTCTTAATACAAAGGGTAATAATAATGGAAAATTATTGATTACTGCGAGATAGCATGCACGCTTTCACTGGAGTCCTCTCTGAGGAATTTCGCTTCTTGATCTACCTACATACAAAATTTCCTTTCATTATTGCCGTTTATTTGTAACTGTCGGACTTGAAATAGTTTAATTTATTATACATACACTGCCGAAACAAAGTATTGGCACAGCAAATTTTTCACAATATATGCAACAATTTTCATTCTAATATTTTTCCGCTCATTTCGTATAAAAATATGGTTCCTTCTACAACAAAAAACATAAGAATATAACTCCTAAACTTTGTGCAAAACTTGCGAAAATTCAGCAAATTTTCATGAAAATTTTCATCTTTTTAATGAGATTTTTAAGAATTTTTTTGAGTATGTAGATTTGTAGCCCAATCAATTTTATTATAATAAAGTGCAAGTTTAAAGTAGCTAGGAATTGCCGTTGATTTTTGGCAATTTTTTTCACGCAGTCTTCCATACAATTTTTTTTTTTCGTAAATACCTTATATGGAAAAAATGCAAAAGACCTTAAACAAAAAAAAATCTCAAAAATCAACGCGATTTTTTACTAACTCTGAACGTGCATTTTTTTACTAGAATTCAATGGGCTGCAAAACTGCATACTCAAAAAAATTCTAAAAAATCTGATTAAAAAGTTGAAAATTTTGATGAAATTTTTCTGAATTTTTGCGAGTTTTGCACAAAGTTTAGGAATTATATTTTTATGTTTTTTTGTTGTTGAATGAACCATATTATTATACAAAATTGGCGGAAAAATATTAGAATAAAAATTGTTGCATATATTGTGAAAAATTTGCAATACTTTGTTCCGGCAGTATATATCTGAGAACTAAGATTTTAACACTGGTATTCAAATTCTCATTCATATTGATATTTATTGTATAAAACTAGCCTAAATTTGGGTACGTATCATCCTCAAAAATATACTGCAAACTTCTGAATCATTTCACTATAACAATTTCCGCAGTACCACCAGGAGGACCAGCTTCGAGCAGCGCTTGCCTTGGCAAATTAAGTTCAGAAAGTCCAAAAATTCCTCGAAATCCAAACGCCATTTTCTTAAGATAAGCAATTTTAAAAAGAGTAAAATTATATCATAAAAAATCGCTCAAAATTACTTGAATTTCATATAAGTCATGCCCGTTTCTGTCATTGTAAAAACCGTTTTTAACAGTTTCGCTTGATCCAGCCAAAAATCTATTTGTGATAAGAGTATACTCTCATGCATTTCATTATCTAAATCCAAAGCGTTGAGGTTATTGTTAGCATAAAGTATAAAGAGACTTTCGATTGTATGGCTTTTTTCTTTATTTTCATCATCATCGGCCATGGCTCACGTACTATTAATGTTGCACTTTATGCAAAAATGTGAAAATTTCAAGGTCAAAAAGAGCAATGACGAAAGAAGTTTGGAATTTGAAATACTTTGTTTTAACCAAGGCGAATTAATATAAGGTGATAGCAGGAGTAAAAAACAAAAATTTACATATATTTTGTTTTTGCTTTGGCGGCATAAACTGTCAAAATCTGTAAGAGTGTGTGTAGAAATTCAAACAAAAATTTTCAATTTGATATCAGAAGCCGTGAGGCGAAACACATACACAAAATCAGCTGAGCTAGTAATATATTATATTAATTCGCCTTGGTTTTTACTAAAGACATTTGAGAGTCGATATTG